AAGGACTCCAAACCACTCATTTTGCAGCTACCAACTGCTGAAAATACCCAAACATAGCTTAAAAACCGAATACCCAAATTCACTGGCAGGGACAGCATTTTCTGCATTTCCGAATGTTGTAAACCATTGAAATGTACTGAAAGACCCCATCGTCAGATATCCGACGCGCGCGTCGTAGTAGTAGTAGTAGTAGTAGTAGTAGTAGTAGTAGTAGCAGTAGTAATAGTAATAGCAACAGCAGCAGCAGCGGCGGCGGCGGCGGCGGCAGCAGCAGCGGCAGCAGCGGCAGCAGCAGTCACGGCGGCGGCGGTGGTAGTGGTGGTGGTAAAGGTAAACGCACAATAACAAAAGCAGCAAAAACAACGGCAACAAAACAATATAACTTAGGCAAACCCACCCTGTAATGGTGGTATATTTTGAATATGAGACGGCCTTGACATAATCACCACTATCCCATGTAGTCACTAGTACTGAGAGGCGGATCCACCTAATGAAGCACAAGCAGTTTCCATGACAACGCAGAGCTGAGCGTCTGAATCTCGCGCAGGCGGCGTCGGCCACGTCGGCAGAAGGAGGCGTGGAGTTCCTGTCCAAGGAGGGAAGGCGGCACCCGAAAGCTGAAGCCAAAATTGTGTGTATGTGGGGCAGGGTTCTGAAAATGTGGGGTAATTCTATAAGCAGGATGATAGGATTTGGCATCTATATTGGGGGTTTCTTCTATTCATGGAAGGCACTGCGCATATGTATATGTATACATATCTACGTATTATGCGTGTATATATTATGTACACACTCCAGCACCCTGTGTTGGTACTGCTGTTCCTGGTGGGGTTCCTTGCTCCCATAGCCCCAGGGTCCAACCTAACTGTCCAACACCAAACCACTTGATCTTATCATTCATGGGGCCCAAGGAAATCCTGACCCCAAACTCTTTCAAGGATTGTAGCGTTTCCAAAGGGGCATCCTGAAATGGGTGTACGGATGTCCTGTAGCCGTGTGTATATATATATGTATATATAGAGAAAGAAAAAAGAATGTGAGAGAGAGAGAGAGAGGGCTTAGCATCAGGATGCAGGGTTTGGGTGCTTCAGGGTTAGGGTTTACGGATTTACAGGGATCATGTATAAGGTCTTCATGGCCATAATGAAAGGGTCAGGTAGGGATTGGAGTTTGGGGCATTTGTAGCCCTTTCAGGGTTCAGGGGCTTGGAGCGTCGCGTTTGGCCACTTGGGGTCCAAGAATCCAATGACTGTGGCTGGTGGCCAGTTTGTATCAAGTCAAGTCAAAACTCTTGGTCTGAAGGAATTTGCGAATTTCTTGATGATGATCACGAAGACGGTAACTGATACTGAGACACGAAGACTAGTATCGATGACAACCAAAACACATCAAGAACGGTGCGAGCACAAGACGTCTATACACAACAACATAGCACCAACAATCGTACAACTCGGCATATAACTCTACGATCAAGATTGGCGCAGCGAAGTTAGGCTTTAGGATCTACGGTAGAGGGCAGGGCGGGGTGTCTGTAGCAAATCTTACACACCATCTATATATACAAATATATATATATACGTATATTACAGAAAGTAAGAGCCGCTACAAATGGGGATACCAAGTGGTGTAAGACGTCCTCCGTCAACCCCTAAAATTGCATTTTCTGCTTTCTGAGGCCCTCCCAGCATGAAGTCATGACTTTCATCTCAGGCTCACTAGGGATCCATGTACACAAATATTATCTACATTGGGCCCTAAAATTGCTAAATATTACCTACATTGGGCCCTAAAATTTGTAAATATTCTCTACATTGGGCTATTTGGATCCCTAGGGGCTTGCTTGATCAGCTACATACGCAGTCTAATATGGCCCCCTAAATTGTTGGGTGTCCAAACAGGGACCATCATGGCGCCTATAGAATCCTGGTTCAACGTCACCCACGAGCCCAAAATAATGGGTATCCAAACTCTAAACACCCCCACACCCTCAATTCCTTTCCTAAACCCAGAACCTCAAGCTGTGAACCCCAGGGAAGGTCCGAAACAGTAAAGGTCAGGCCGTGTAAAAGCCCTAAAGCCCAAAGCTCTAAACCTAAACCCTAAAGCCCAAAGGTTGATGAAGCAAGCCGAGTGTCAGGGTCCAGCTGGATCTCAATGGTATTTGCATATCCAGCACCGGCTAGCACATACTGTCCTAGCCGCGGCTTAGGTTAAGGATTTCAGGGTTTTGGGTTTAGGGTTTGGAACTCAGGTATCCTGGCGGTGCGCCCTCCCAGGCGGGGTAAGGGTTTAGGGTTGTTGATGCGCCAAGCAGCTTAGTGAACCCCCACTGTCCTCTATCCATCTGCATATCGTTGGACCACGAAGTGACGCTGTTGCCGGGTGCCATATCCTGCCCGCTCGCCCAGTGTAGAGTACCGAGCTTTGGAAGTTTCTGGGTCCTAGGACTACATAAAGCGGTGCTTCTCAAGATGAAGTTTCCTCCTATACGCTTTCAAGCTAACACGGTCCCGAGCATGCGAGATCTGCAAAGAGGAGCAAGTTCAGCTTAACTCAAGTGGGGTATTGTCGAATGTAACCAGCTAGGTCAAATTATTTTTATAAAAGCCTGTATAGCCTATAAAGGAATCACAGAGCAAGTTTTGAGTAATATCCCAATGCAGAGACAGAGAGATGTTCAAGGATGTAGGACAATTAGGGTCCACAGAGTAGTGTGTTTTGGTGGTCGAACCTAGTAAGATTATAGTCCTTATATAGAATACTATACCCTAAAAGGAGGATAGAATCTTACTCTATAATGGGTACCATAGTATCCCCCAAATGAAATACTACACAAATAACCGCTATATAATCCCAGTTTCCATTTAATTTTCCATTTTCCTTTCCATTTGATTCTCCACTATAGGGCCCTAAACCCTAAACCTCTAAACCCTATAAATCCTAACCCTAAACCCTATAAATCCTAACCCTAAACCCTAAACCCTAAATCCTAAACCCTAAACCCTAAACCCCAAATAAAATACTACTCTACAGGGTTAGAGGTCTGCGGAGCCTTGACTTAAGCTTGGACAGCGAGCTTGGGGCACTGGGTTGGCCTCTAAAAAAACCCTTTGAAAAATATTGGTATATAGGGTCTTAGGAATTTAGGGTTTAGGGCTTAGGGTCCCTTATTAAAGCCATTAGGGAAAATATTAAATATCCCAGGGGCCTACCCAGGGTAGTAGTTGTTTGTCGAAGGGGTGCCATGTCTACACCATGGATTGCTAGCTGCTCAGTTTGCGTGGGTAGCCAGCAAACCGAGAAAGTTGTCGAGCACCTGGTATACCACGGAATTTGGCTTAAGTCCTCATGCCCCTACCATGCACGTAGGTTGCAAGCAAAGCAGCGTTAGTAATTTGTTTGCACTTGAAACTTCGGAAGTCGGTAACGTTGCCAAAAACCGTATGCGCATGACAGCCAGAGCAGCGTCTCTAGGGTATTAGCATGGTTTCCGCCAACCTACGCGCCAGTCATGCAAAAACGGCTGTAGCCTATAGACTCAGGTGCTCAGGTTGTAGTTGCAGGACCTTCGACAATCTGACATGCCGTCTCCCCTTTCTGCTAAACTCACTCCGCCAACATCAACTCCAAGATGGTTACCACGGATAGCGGAAGTCTCACACAACTTAAGGCCTCCGAAAATAGTATAGTTGCTGGAGTATGGTGCAATATGGGTAGCTCATATGACGTGGTACAGAACTTTTCTCCCTATGCCTTACATCTGGCTGTTGAGATCGCGATGATTCTATTAGATCCTGATATCAGAATGTCGCTCTGGGCTTCTGACACGGTGGGGTGGGTTTTGGTGTGACGAATTTACCAGGGAGCACCAGCTTTCAACATATCTGAAGAGAATCCCACTTGAATGGCTTCCAGCAATCGAGGGGGTGGTCTCAGGGAGTGGAATACATTGGGACATTGCAAGGGGAGCGACATGCATCAGAATCCCCAGTATGGAGCCCTAGAAGTACCCACGTACTAGGGCTTTAGGTACCCAACAACCCATTCTGATTGTTGTATGTGGGACCCCGACACCGTGAAGCGCTGCAAGGGGGGTCAGTCCTCAGGCACGAAAAACCCAAAGCGAATTCTGCCCCAACCAAGTTGCGCAGTGCTCAGAGCCCAAACGGAAGCGGTTTCAGGCTTTGGGGGCGGCGGGCTAAACCCTAAATCCTGAACCCTAAACTCTGAAACCAAAACCTAAACCCTGAGCCCTAACTCGGGGCTTCGGTTCAATGATTGGGGCTTCAGGTTGGGTTTGGGGATTGGGCTTGGGAGATTTCAGGCTCAATGTTTACAGGGTTTGGGTTCTGGGGGCTGAGGGTGCCTAGAGGCAAGTTTGCCAAGTTTGAACAACTCCCATTGCTCCCTGAGACCCTAGATCCTAAATCCCAAATCTCCAGCTGAAATCTTACCCTATGGATCCAAGTA